GGCGGTTCCTTCCGGGAGATCGAAAGCATCTTCACCGACGGTTCTCCTCCCCCGGGGAGAACCGGGCTTGAGGTCCTACAACGAGAAGGTCCCGAAAGGATTTGAGGCACCGATGGGTCTTCTAAAGCCACCCCAACCTGGTCATCCTCCACGCTGGTGGGACCAGAGCTGCAACGTGGTTGCAGGAGCTCCAGGGATGGTGTGGTGGAACCTCCGTGCTTCTTCAACGGCGCCTTCGGCGGGGCAGGGGAGAGGAGCTGAAGTTGGGAGCAGCTCAAGGCAATTAACAACCTGACGAGCCAATTAAGGGCGGAGAAGCCCAGGAGCTGAGTCCTGACGAAAGGCAAAAGGGTTGATTGGGATGAATCATGGTTTGGAGATGCTGATCTCGCTCTCTGCTGGTGGCAAGAGGAAACCCAGGGCTGAGTTCGGGCCTAAACCTGGAGGTGAAGCTGGAGCTCCTGGAAGGGCGACTGGCCCAGTATAACCACGGAGATGCGGTCTGCGGAGATCCTCAACGAAGAGGTTGTGGCCTTGGGGAGCTCCATCTGGGGAGGTTTGGCCCTGAGGAGATGTCACCTATCAGGATGTCATCCTGTGGAGATCTCGTTCCATGGACTTCTGGTCCGTGGAGACCTAATCCTGCAGGTGAATTCGTGGTGATCTCCACCCATGGAGGTCCCATCCACCAAGATCCTGTCCACCAGCACCCCAGTCCGTGGAGGTCTGGTCCACGAAGGTCCCATCCGTGGAGATCTCTGGTCCATGGAAATCCCGTCCGTGGAGGTCTGGTCCATGTTGATCTCGGCTATGGGGATGCTGTGGGTGGAGATCTTGTCCATGGAGTGTTCATCTCCAGAGATTCTGTCCATGGGGACCTGCCCTATAGACAACCTCAGCCACGGAGGTCCATGGGGATCCCACCCTTCAGGATCCCGTCCATGGGGACCTGCCCTATAGACAACCTCGGCCACGAAGGTCCATGGGGATCTCATCCATGGTGATCCCGTCCATGGGGACCTGCCCTATAGACAATTTCGGCCACGAAGGTCCACGGGGATCCCATCCATGGGGATCCTGTCCATGGGGCCCTGCCCTATAGACAATTTCGGCCACGAAGGTCCACGGGGATCCCATCCATGGGGATCCTGTCCATGGGGACCTGCCCTATAGACAATTTCGGCCACGAAGGTCCACGGGGATCCCATCCATGGGGATCCT